CCACATTTATACCTTTAAGTATGGCCAACACTTGTTATTTCTCGGTCCTGGGATTTAGAACTACATATACATAAAGTATTAACAAACATAAGAATTTACGGGAATTTTATTTAATTCAAGCGCGTTTTATGTCGATTTAAACACATACCATTTTCTATTAGTAAGAGAGGTTACTTATACATTTTGGTATTCGGTTATAAGACTACATTACACAGATGTTAAAGAAAATATCGGATTTTCTGGATACATATTCTAATGTTTTTACAAGGAAAACGGTTTACTTCTCTAACGAAATCTCTTATGAACTCACCAACCTTTGTATTGATACTTTTTCAAAACTACTTGTATTCTCAGGAATTCAGTGAAACAGGAAATCAACAACGTTTTGAGGATGGGACAATAATTCGTCAAACAGTTTATTTTGTATCATAATGTAATTGATGTGAATCATGTAAACATGTACTTTGATGTAACTTTTTCAATTATATTTGTGATGGTTGTATTTACTTTGAGCACTATTATACTCGTTGTTGTGATACTCTACATGAAGTCCTCCACCCCCGGACATTTCCGCCATCCTTGGTTTGGGGGTGTGACATATGGTTATGACAAATTCACATGGATAAGAACACATACACCATAAAATCTAAGTGTCATAAGGTTTCTCTGTATTTCATGTAAATGAGTGTGAGGAAACACTTTCACTAATAAGATTTTGATGAGATACCAGTTTTGTTATTTGCATTCTCAAATTCAATTATGATTATGACATCACTCTTTATAGTTCGAACTGTGAGAAATGTCAAAAGGTCTAAAAATTTGAGACTTATTGTTGTAAGTTCTAAATTTGTTTAGACACCCATATGAGCTATCTAAGGAAAGGTGCATGAGTTTGAAAGGCCTAGATAAATTCTTATCAAAGCATCTTGTATCAGAAATCTGAACTTTGGTAAGAAGATCAACAATGAATGATTTCTAGAAGTCCATCTTATTTATGAGTACATGTCAAAGCTAGTGGGAGCATAAGTGTTGTGCTAATAATGAAATAATTGTTATGCTAGTGGGAGCATAATCATTATGGTAAGTGTTGGAAGTTATCAATGTTAGTTATAGAAAACAAAAGTTTCAATTCGCAAAGATGCAGAGTTTGAAAAATTGTTTTGCTAGAATTAAGGGAGAGGAACTTATACTTCATTTCAAATCTAAAAGCTTAGATTATGAGATTTTAATCAAATATAGTCAAGGATATATATGAATATCATGTTGGAATAGTTCAACATAAGGAAATTCTATATATGTAAATATTATAGCAAAAGACTGGTCGAATATCATGTCTTTATGTAAGACATTATCAATCGTATCTCATATGCTTCGGGTATAGTATCGATTAAATATGCTATAATATTCTCATGTTCTAATTTTCCAAATGCCTAGGGCATTAAGAGGGAAAAAGGACTAGAACCAGATATGACTAAAGTGGTTAAACAAATGTCAAGGACAATCTAAGGTTCACTAAGGATTGGTTGCTTAAGGACAGCTGGAAGTGTAGTAGTGGATTGACTATATTGACATTATTATGAATAGATAGGATTCTATTAATAATGAGTTGTCATATGGCATATATGGAAATGTTTCCATAATGGGAGATGGATATTAATAATCTATGCGTAGGTTAGAAACTTTTATCAAGAAAGATGTTCAAAGGAATGTACTTTGAATTTCAGACTTCAATTCCTTGGAATTGTTTTGTTATCATTCTCTAGTGGAAAGTTTTGTAATATCGTTGGCAAAGTCTTTGTGACTTTGGTACATTACAAAATGTTATATTGCATGATATTTTACAATCTAACACATTCTAGCAGCGACAAGAATATGGTATTCTTACACTTGGAATAAGGATTTGAAATTGTGAAATGAGCATCATTGAAATGTTTTCGATTGATCTATTTTACATAGTAAGGACAATAGATAAACATAGTGTGCATGCTTGGAGCATGGGATAACTATTGTTTTAATTCAAGTATTAAGTTGATAAATCGAAACATTATATAATGAATAATGTGTAATTAATATGGTGATTGAATAAAAGGTGTTTGTGTCAACCCGGAATTTCTTCCGTTCAAACCGTTAAAAATAAATCAAATCGGAATTTATTTCTGCTCTTGTTAACATTATCTCGAGTCTAATTAAATATTTTTAATTCAAAACAATCGAATTTTGGGTCCAAGAACGAGTTTTTCCAAGTCAAAGCATAGCATTCGGGCCAAACACCCCTTCAAAACGAGTGTACGACCGCAAACTCGAGTTTACGGCTGTACACCCCCCACCCCACTCCTTGGCCATAAACTCACCCCTATATAAGGGATGAGTGGCCTTCATTTCATACTTTACACACTCCAAAGGATTTATCTCTCTACTCTCTCTCTCTCTCTCTCTCTCTACAATTTTCGATTTTGCTCAAAGACCCTCAAAAAATGTAAGTGATTCTTCACTTTGATTGTGTTTCTATCTCATTTCTATTGTTGAATCCATGTTTCATCCCATTTAATTTCATCCTTTTCTAGATTTTCTCTCTCACCAAGAACACACACACTAGTTTTTGGTGGCTAAAAACCTCATTCCAAGCCTCTTACAGTAAGTAACTACCATTTATGTTTGATATCTACTAGAAACCATTGGTTTTTCACCTAAAAATCGACCCAAATCATGAACACGAAATGGGTTTACGGCTGTAAACCCATGTGTACAGCCGTACACCCTTTAATAGCCGTAAACTCCATTTTTGGTCGATTATTGGCCTTTAAACCTCACCTTAAGTTGTGCACAAGGCTTAGAACATTTCCAAGAGGATAGAAAGCACCCCGGAACACCAAAAATCACACCTTTCATCGAGTGTTTATGGTCGTAAACCCAAGGATCGTAAACACTTGGGCCGTAAACCCTATAGGGATGCAAACTCATGACCGTACACTCCTAATTACGACCGCAAACTCCCCATCTTCAATCACGTGTGATTCAAACACTTAGTTTCAAGTGTTTCCTAGTCCTTAAGATGGTTTCATTCCATAACAAATACTGTTATGTGTCCATCTAATACATATATGTGCTTTGATATGTTAAATAGGATTCATTTGTGTCTGAGGCATTGTCTGACACCCAAAAACTCCTATTGATTGACACTCGAATCCCACGTCAAACAGTGAGTTCATACCCCTACACTTTTATGGTTTTTAAAACGTTTTCAGGGGGAATACAAGCCAAACATTAAGGTTTTCACAAATTAAAAACTGATGCAGTTACAACAAATCTTTCATCAAACAGTTAGATACCTTATCCCTTTTGTAATATGCGGAGCATAAGGGACGTTTTTCTAAACATAATTGCATAGTTTTCAGAACAGTACATGATCATAACATACCAGTCAAACTATAATAGGTATAATTTGGTAAACTCATTACAAGTTTTACATAATCAAACTATGTACAAAGTCAAACATATAAACTATGACAGATTTAGTTTATCCATTAATAGAGTATCTTATATAATAATTATTTTGTGTATAATTATTTATACTCTACACGTATACAACGATTTCGAACACGAGAACAACAGAACAACACATAAACTAGTTAATACATGATTGTGAGACATATCTTCGTTATGCCCCTCGGGGTACCAGTAAATCCTCACATTTAGTATAAGCAGAGTCTCATGGAGGGAGAACGTGAAATTTGTGAATAGATCTATTCGGGACCGACAATCACACACCTAAACTGTTAGCTACAGTTAGGCGGGCATGCTTGGGGTGACAAAATTTGTAATCATACGACACCTGAAGAAACGTCAAGGAGGTTATCGGTCATATTAGCATGGTTATACGAACTCACAATAGTATCAACTAATCCTTGTTTACGGGCTTTTCTTCTTCGATAATTTATTTTAACTAATAAAACTACCCATCTACTTACTGGGGGGGAGGGTATTCTAGGGACACAACCTTTGGTTTTATTTTAAGTAATAAAGCTACTATACTTGATGGTGATAGCTAGGTTTTTCTAACAGATCATACACTACATACTGGTGGTAGCCAGGGTTTTCAAACAGAACATACACTACATACTGGTGATAACTAGGGTTTTCAAATGGAACATACTTTTCATACAGTAATCAACAAACATGTTAGAAAATATTGGATATTCTTGGAAAACATGCATACATATTTCAGAACTTGTTAACAATGATTTTTCAATACAAACGGCATTTTACTTATAATGAAAAGAAACTGTTTGTATAAATTCAGTGAGTAGTTTTCAATACAAAAACATGCTTATGAACTCACCAACTTTATGCTGATACATTTTCAAAACCGCTTGTATTCTCATGACAACAATAGACAGGTACCCTCGCCAGCTTTTGGAGAAGAAGGAGCATTTTGGAGTCTCATCTCCTAATTTTTATATACTGATGTACACAAACTATGTTTTCAAACATATGTAAATATTGTTATTGTAATGTAATTGTCCGAACAAGGCCCAAAACCCTAATAGTCCTAAATATGGCCCAAAAAAACTATTTTCCAAACAATCACTTACTTGAGTTCGGCTGATTGCACACATCATCCCTTTTTCTTTATAAAAATCTTTTTATAAGCTTATTTTCTTTACAAAAATCTTTTTGGAAACTTATTTTCTTTCAAAAGATTACAAATTCCTCAGTTTGAGTTGAGACATACCCAAGAGCGTGCTCGAATCCCTCAATCCAAGGCTCGGATAAAAACTTGTAACGTCCTGAAAATCCAAGGGAAAATTTTCATTTTTAAAACAATAAATCATACAAACGTGTTGTTTCAAAACCGATCAAAGTGAACATATTATTTAAACATAAGAGTAATATCATTAATTGCCAATATTGAAAACTCTAGTGAATGCTGTGCAGTCACGTCAGGTCCTTCCCTTTCAAACCGAAAGTACCGGAAACCATAAATACGAAACCGTGGCGATATGTTCAGACCATTAGGAGGTTCCTATAGCATTTGGTATAAGTCCTTGGAGGGTTTCCACAGCTTCCTGATATGTTTACATGTTTAGTTCGTATAATATTTCTATGATTAGGGAAGACCGTGTGGAGGTTCCCACGCCAGTGAGCCAAGACCACGTGGGGGTTCCAGTGATACTTGGTGTAAGACCTCGGATGGTTTACACGGCATCGTTATATGTTTATATGCATGACTTATGTGGTTTATGTAGCTTTATAGCTAATATGGTATATGTGATTTATGTGGATTGTATGGGGTATGCTCTGGAGAACTCACTAAGCATTAGCTTTTGTTGATTTGTTTCATGTACTTCTGAGCTTAAGGGCAAGGACAATGCTTGATGGCGGGGTATTCACTCTCACAGACGTTTTTATGGGACACTCTGATATTTGGAGTAAAATATTTATGTTATGGATTTTGAAAACAATTGTCATTGATATTCCATATTTTGTGAAAATCATTTGGTTGATTTAAAATGGAAAAACAATTGTTTGAAAATTTGGATCGTTACAGTTAGACCGACCGATTCAATTGACTATAGGTTGGGAATACTTGGTCGACTTTGACATATTCAAACACTATATTTTGATATTTTTGGGATGTTGACCAAACTAAAATTCATGATTTGGTGAATATATGATTTTAAACATCCTAATAAGGCAAAACCATCTGTATTTGATTTGGTACTTTAGTGTCATATGACCTTTTAATGTAATTAAAGTTTATACAAACGTCAAAGAGTAATTAGATTATGTTCTGATACAAGTCAGGTGGTTTAAACTTTAAAATGTACACTTATATAAACGAGTTTGATCCTCAACATGACAAATTGACCAGGGGTCAAAAGATAGTTCCCCTTGCATGGTGAAGGGATAATAATTTTTCGGACTACAAGTATAATAGAAAAATATCTTTTTATAGCAGGGTAGATCCTAACCAACGGATTAAATATGTGTATAAATGGTAACTCAGCCTTTTGAAAAGCCTCTGAAGTCTCTATATATGCAACAAAAATAGAACAATGAAAACGCTTTTAAGTCAAAATAAAACTAAAACCGAATAAAACTTATGACTTAATCTCATCAAAATTGCAACGACCAAAAATAGACTCGCGCCAGGTAGGGGTCGAACCTACGACTTTCTGCTTAGGAAACAGACGCTCTATCCACTGAGCTACAGGCGCTTGATGTTTTTTATTTACATAATTGGTTTTTTATCCTTTAGAATGTCGGTCGTATAGTGTTACATAATCAAACAAAACTTAGACACTGTTTAATGTTTAAACAAATATCTTGATCCTGTGGCAAGATTCATCCTTCCTAACTGATATTTTGATAAAAGGGTTGTAATTTATGGAACCAAACATATATAGCCCCACTTGTTGGTCACAAAAGAAAAGAGCAACGTTTCTAGTGACACTTTGATGTGAATCGCATGTGTAAAACACAGTAACCAAAAGCCAGCTAAAGATTATAACCTAACTTTTTATGGTTCGTGGTCTAGACCCAAACCTACGTGGACCGTTCACTTGCTATAATTATTAATAAAAATAAAAACATTACATTATAATAAAGCTAACATACAATTGTCTTGGCAAATCTTACAAACTTTTTAATGCTATCGTAAAAGGTGTTGTGAGTACTTAAAGTAACATTCGCAATAGCAATAGCAAATACCAATAGCAAATAGCAGCCATGGGGTAACACACACTAAAATCACACACACATAAAACAGACCATTACTCTTTGTATATAAACACCAAAACACACACTCCCAATCACAAGCTGCCACCTTCTTTAATCACGTTGAATGTCTTCCTTCCTCTTTCTAATTCTTCTATCTTTTGGGTTCATCCACGATCAGAATTAAGCCAGGTTCACTCTTTTTGAGTTTTAGCGACTATTTATCATCTTTAAACTTGTTTTTTCCATCTGGGTATACGATAGTTTCTTGATTAATTAATTAATTATGTCTTAATTTTGAATTGTATGATTCTTTCAGGGTATAACCAGTTTGAGATCAAAGTTTCCATCTTTTTCAAGATTTTCTTGATTCTTGATCAGGCGAGTCTTTTTCAAGATCTTTGAACATATTCTGGTAAATCTCAAAAAGGGTATTCCAATTCTCATTACATGATTCTATATTGCAATTTTCAGATCACGTTGAAGCACCACCAATTAGCTATATGGAGACATTGTCTCTATCTTCCAATAGTTTGAGCATGCAAGAAAACAAGAACACAAAATGGACTAATGAACAAAACACATGGTTCGAAAGTGCTCTTGCTATATTCGATACCGATACACCAGACCGGTGGTCAAATGTCGCCGCTTTGGTTCCCGGGAAGTCGGAGATCGATGTCAAGAACCAATACGAGAAATTGAAAGCCGATATCAATGAAATCGAGGCTGATATGGTTCCCGATCCCGGCTATTTCACCTCGTCTTTTGAAGATCAGAGCTTCAGTCTCTTCGGAAAGAGGCCTCGATCTTGTGATCAGGAGAGACGAAAGGGTGTCCCGTGGACTGAAGAAGAACACAGGTTACACATAAACATAACTCGCACACCTTCCATGTTCTTGATTTTGTTTTATAATCAGACGTTAATTCGATAAACTTGAACTAATCGTGTCATTTTCAGGCGATTCTTGGTGGGTCTTCAAGTTCATGGAAAAGGAGACTGGCGAAGTATTTCACGTAACTTCGTGATGACAAAAACCCCGACACAAGTCGCAAGTCATGCGCAGAAATACTACGCGAGACAACATTCAGATGGGAAAGAGAAGAGAAGACCTAGTATTCATGATATCACGATCATCAATCATCCTGACAACACCGAGAGATCTCCACCGTCGATTAACAAACCCACTGGACTACCAAAGGACTTGCTACACTGGAATAACCCGAGTGATGAAACTGTGACGGCGTATCCATTTGAAATTGCGAAAATGAACAAGAGTGTCCGAGTTTACAACTCCGGCCTCCGTTTCCAACCTACAAGGTATCAGGTTCAAGGTTGAGGAAGCAAAGATTGTGTTTTTCATTAAAAAAACATGTTAATATGTAGTTATATGTACTTGTACTTTGTTTGTATTTCGATAGTTTGTTTTCATGTCTCTATCTTAGTGATTACTACGCGTATGACAAGGATGCAAGTTTCTAGAAGTAAGTAATTAGGAACTCAAGATCTCAGTAACCCAGCAAGGGAAATAGAATTGGCTTTACTATTCATGAATCATGATCGGGTTCACACGTATGAAATGTGAAATTTGTAGATTGACATGTGAAACCTAATTTAAGGTGCCTTTCTTTATCAAAGTTATAAAGCAAAGTTGGCGGGTTCTGTTACTAAAGAATTTAGATGAGTCATGTCTTTATGTGTTTGCTAGAGTGCCATGTCAGCGGCTGAGTCAACATCCACTCTTGGGAAATTTTAACGAATATTTAATTTGTAAGCTTTTGTTTTCTATTGGTACTCTTTACACCATAATGTATAGTATATATGCACAGGAATGTTGGCATGCTGACTGTTGGCTTTAGAATAGAGCTAGCTGAGTCTGCATTCCACAAGCATATTGTGTTATTATGCTTTTTTTCATCTCAAAGATATTCTATTTTGGTGTAATTTAAAATATCTACTTATTTGTTTTATATTTAATGACACCCAAATCTTTATTTATTCGATTCCTAGAGGTCCCCTTTTTTAGGTTTGTTCCTTTCTATCTTTCAGAACTAACATATTAATTATTTGATGAGAAGTATAAAGAAGCAAGTTGGTCTTTGAGATTATATATGCAAAGGATCAACTTAATTTTGACTATAATGTGGAACCTTAGCTACGAATATAAGTCATATTCTCATAATCATAAAATGATTATTATCCAACAACTCTTAAGCTCACCAATATTATATTGTTTCAAAAAAAAAAAAAAAATCATGTGATATGTAAATCCCATACACAACGTTACGTGGTTACAATAAACCTAGTCTCCGCAAGGAGCTGAATAAAGATTCGGCTGCTAATTAATATCCGAACCCTAAGACAAATGTTATAAGTATATCATCCAAAAAATAACTGTTTTATATGGGGCTAAGACGTGTTTCAAGCATTTTGTTTTAAAAGTGTAATCATGTTTATGGCTTTAGAGGATTTGAATTTATTATAATGCATCAACCTTTATTCGGTTTCAGTCAACTCAAGATTTTGACATTTCCTTGACTGTAGAAAAATTACTACATGTATTAATCATGGATTAGCTTTTAAAAGCACTTTACACCAAACAGAATTCTGTTGCCAACAAAAGGAGTGAAGGTATCTCTATTAACGTTTGAAGAATATGTACGGAATCGTCGACATCAAATCTAATTTAGTGAAAATTTACAAAGTTTGGTTATAATTTTTATTCCAGTTCATAGCACATTTGGTTTAAGGTTCAGTATACTTGCAAAAAAAATAACCATTGCGATGTGAGAATTTCAATTATAATATAAACTGTGTTCTTTGTGGGAATTGGATTTCTATACAAGCCACCTAGTGGATCATTGTGTTTTGTGCGCCTTATATTGAGTCCTTGAGCATCAAAGACCCCTCACTAGGGATGTAGCCACGGTAACTGTCCCTCAAAGTATATATGTTATATATTAATTATGATTGAATTGATTTTTATTTAAAATTATAGAATAAAAAAAGTTATATCATAAAACTGTTTTTCATTTAACAATAATAAAAAGAATCATAATATTAGTAAGAACAAGATATATTAGTATCACATTTCTAAAAACAAAAGTTAATATTAATAAAAATATAGTAAAAACAACATTTATGTGAATGTTTTAAAAAAAGGAGATTATTTTCCAGAAAAAATTTGAGTTTCCCTCCCCATCCCAAAATCCCAAATCAATATGCAAACCCTCTTCAGTTCTATTATATCTTTTCTCCTCCAAACTATCACAAATCTACCATGTTTTGCAATAACCATATCCAACGAATATCACAAATCCACCATGTTTTGCGATAACCATCACCAACAGATGCTTCTCTCCTCTTCGGTCATGATTTCGTTTTACCAAATGACCCTATTTATAGTCGGCTTCTTCTACAGATCCCTTTTTTGTTGGTTGTGTTTCCCTCGCCAGTCCATATTAGGCTTTGTCCTCTCATCGATGCTACAACACAACCTTGTAGCATTTTCATTACATTCTTTCCCTCCCACAACGCCCTAATTGATCCATAACTCATAGCCCTTTTATACCCATCGTCATGAACTCGCTTCCCTTACCCGTTGATGTTGCCACTAATTGCCACCACGGTCCGCCTTGCCACGAGCATCTCCAACTCATAGGGATCACAATAATATCGATTCTAATCAATAACAATAAAAAATTAGGTACCAGATGTTATTATTTTTTCGTTTCTTATACAAAAATCACCAAACATCTAACTCTTGGTTTAACTTAATAACTTGTCACGAGCCATCAGCCTCCATTACCTCCTTTTCACCGTTAAGGAAACCCTAGCCTTTATTTTGTCGTTTTAGAGCTTTTGGCGATGCTTTTGATGGTTTGAAGAAGAAGAATGAGCTCTTGGTGCATAGATCTAGAAAGAAAACGTCTTCAACTCATCCTTGCTCATATTTAGGACTTATGTAAGTCCTCAAGTTCCAAGCTTTATGTTTAGTTCTTCTAGATCTAGGCTTATTGTCCCAGTTTTCCATGATTGTGAGAGTTTAAATGGTTAGGTTCCATAAAATTAGGAACTTTATGGGTACTTGGGGTCCCTTTGGATTTATATGTTCCAGGTCTAGAGTTTTATAGTGTTTTTGGTCTCATGAATAAGTTTAAGTTCATTTCTTCCATGTTTTTTTACCTAGATGGGAAGAGACATGCATTGGGCATGTGTGTCCATAAAGCACCAATATTTATGATGCATTAGGAGTAGGAAATCCTTTTGGAAAGTTTGGAGAAGTGGCCTTAGTATTAAGAGCTTAATGTATTTAGAAGGCCAGAACAGTTCCCACGGCGTGAATGATTAGCTTTTACAACATGACGAAAGACAGTCATCATGACTGTTTTGTCCTAAGGTCACCACAACATGGCGAAAGCTTAGCCACGACATGGCGTTGTAAGAGTTTTTGTGACATCCCTATTTTTATGACCAGAAATGACCGATTTGTTTATGCTTATTTAAAAATCTAAGTATCCTTTTTGATGAATAATATTGCGCAATTTGTTTCCCGAAAACATGATAAATATATTATCAAAGCATTTTCGAAGAAATGTATTTTGTTTAGATTATAACATTGGGATGTCTTCATCAATACAGAAACATAAGCATAACGAAATATCATAAGCCTTACAGTAATTAAACTAATGGCCTAATACTCCTTGAATATCTCAGTCGAATGTATCTTTAACATCACTACCTATAATACAATAAATTGAGTAGGTCAGGTTGGGACACCTGGTGAGTACATAGGGTTTTCAACCCACAATAATATAATTATTATGTTTAATCATTAAGCAATTAACCCACTTTACTATACTCATTATCTTCTTTATTCTTAAGGATCTTCCCTAAGAATTATTTATTTATTTCTAAGGATTGTCCTAAAGAATAGACACGAAGTCCATCACTATCAGGGTTTATCCAACAGGCACTAAGTCCATAGCTGCCGATGTTATATATTAGGCACAACTGCAAATGGTATCAATTAGGCACAGCTGCCAATATATCAATTAGGCACTAAGTCCATAGTTATCATGGTTTTTAGGAAAGATGCCTAAATTGCTATTATGTGCACAATGAGTTATGTTATAGCTATATAAATGCATTATAAGCTATTATTTTCTTGGATCTATGGTCTATTGCCGACCAGGTCGGGAAACCTTATGTGTTTAGGATACTGAACATTCGACTACGCAATTAGAAATAACATGTAACTTATTGGAATGATAAGGAGATTTATACATCGATCGTAAATAAAGTTTTCCTATCTTAATTCCCGTCACTGCACACTGAACGTCTGATTTGGTGTATGGATTGAAATGGAAAGAACCCAAAGTGGAGTCAGAAATGTTAATGCAAATGGCAATCAGCAACCTCAACCCCAAGTGATTGAGCAAGTATCGGTAGTAGTAGCTGCACCTGAGCTAATCATAATGACTGGAGTACAAGCCATGATTCGGGATATTATAGCCAAACAGAGGGAATAGATGAGGCAGATGTTTCATGAAAATAAGGATGAACCTACCGTGCCCATTCTGCAACTTGAGATGATCATCAAACAATCAGAAGAAGGAAATTACAGTAGAACCATTAGTCAAGCTGAACTGCCAGTGGTTAGGAGGACCAACCAAAATGAAGGAGTCGAGAGAAACGGATGCAAGTATAAGGACTTCACAACTTGCAAGCCATCGAATTTCACTAGGAAAGAAGATCCAATTGGAGTTATGGACTGGATCTCAGAGATGGACTTAGCTTTCATAACATGTGCTTGCAAGGGCAAGCTACAAACCACATATGCAGTATGTCAGATCAGAGGTGGCGTTGTTTGCTAGTGGAACACTTTAAGGAAGACCATAATCCCCAAAGAGCCACTACAACTGACATAGGTAGAGTTCTTGGTACACTTCAATCGCAAGTTCTGTGCAGCCCAAAACTTGCTAGAGCTGGAGAACCAATTCCTAACGTTGAAGAAGGACAGCATGTCCATTGATGAATACACCAATTCCTTCACGAAAAAATGGAGTTTGCTTTGTGTATCGTCCCAGACGAGCTGACAAAAAGCGAGAAGTATGCAAAGGGACTTCAATGGGAGTATGTTGTGCTAGTGCGTCAGGCACCTACTCTAGAGTAAACTATCTAGGCTGCAAAGTCTGTTGAGGAGATGATCAAGAGAAGAAATGCCAGCAAGGTTGAAGTTGGCAAAAAGGGGAATTTTGAAGGATCTTCAAGGTCCAACGAGAAAAACAAATTCTCGAATTATGGTTCGAAGAATTTTGGAGGAGGAAGAGGCAAAGTGAAGTGGTGCGAGAAGTGCATGAAGAAGCACTTTGGGAAAATGTGACGGAGAAGTCACTTGTTTTAAGTGTGGAAAGCCTGGGTACTATGTCAATAAATGCACCCTCAAGAAGAAATCTTGTTATGGATGTAATAAAGAAGGG